CAAATACCCATAAGGGCAAAAATGGAAAAACATAAAGTAAAAATAAACTACTACATAAGATGATGAAAATACAACTCATGCTCGTGGCTGTCGATCTCCGGCGTCGAAAATGCTGACGATGTCCTCATCAGACTCTCTCTAATATTGCCTGCCATTGGAGCAATTCCAACCTTTTCATGTATATACTCATTTCATTTTCTATCTCTAAGAGTAAAGCCACTCATCGACCTGAGCATCCTCATCTCTACAACACTTTAACTTAATTTGATGCTTTGCATTAAAGGCTAACATTCTTCAATATAAAGCATTGTAGGTCACACCATCATCTTATAAAATTTTCCCTTAAGTTTGAATGAGACTTTTATATCACACAACAAGCTCGATTCATTCCTCCACTTCAACCATCCAACTTGAATTCTACTAATAATATCCTCATTTTTTTCACTTTCATTTTGAACATAGACCCGAGATGTCTAAACGTTTACTCTTTTTAATTAATTGATCCCCCAAAGTTACAATCCCCCAACTAGATCTTTACTACTAAAATTACACTCATTGTATTCGATTTTATATCTACTCAAATGAAAATTTTCGGACTCTAACGTAGATTTCCATAATTTAAGTTTTTCTTCAACTCCCTCTCTAGTCTTATCAATTAGAATAGTATCATCAACAAAAAGCATACACCAGGGTACATACTCTTGCAAATGTCCAGTAAAAGCATCCATAACTAAAGCAAAAAGATAGGGGCTTAAAGCTGATCCTTAATGTGATCCTTAATGTATCCAACTGAAATAGGAAAATACTTGGTCAAACCACCTTGTGTTTGAACACAAGTAACAACCCTTTCATACATATCATTAATGACTTGAATATAAGCATTATTGACTCCTTCCTTTTCTTGAACTTTATCATATGCTTTCTCTAAATCAATAAATATCATATGAAGATCCTCCTTATTCTTTCTATACTTCTCCATCAAAATTCTCAATAATTGTATATCTTTGTAGTAGACCTACCGGGCATGAATGCAAATTAATTTTTAGAAACATTAGTATCACATCATAATCTATGCTCAATAACTCTCACATAGTTTTAATGCATGACACTTTAGCTTAATTCCTCTATAATTTATACACTTTTGTGCATCACCTTTATTCTTAAAAATAAAAATAAATACACTCATTCTCCACGTATCTGATATCATCTTTATCTTCAAATTAATATTAAAAAATTTCATAAGCTAAGAATTTCCTTTATCTCCTAAAAATTTCATAAGCTAAGAATTAATATTAAAAATAAATTGTGCATTTGAACATTCAATTACTGAATTTTGGTTTTTGATCGGTTCTTCTTGTATGCTGCTTACTCCAGCTGATTTAAGTTCGTTATGACTGGCTGAAATTCTGTTAATTATTTACTAATCATATGTGTATTTGTTTTGCATTTATATCAGGTCGGCATTCTAAAACGGGTATTGGAAGAAGTGGAAAAAGTTATGCGTGAGTTTAAGAGCATGCTTTATAAATCAATGGAAGATCCACAGCTTGATCTAGCTGAGGTAAGGTAATCCTAATCCTTACAAGTTTGGTATGTTCAACTAAGATGCATATTTGGAAGTCTGTATTGGGAAATATAAATCGATGATGTTGTTTTATTTCCTCGTTTTTGTTTCATGATTCATTTTAAGTGTAAAAATATGCTTTTGATGATGATTCTATTCTCTTTGATAACCTTATTGAATTTGGTATGTCGCAAAACTTCTTGATTCAACTCTTTTCAGATTTCTTGGTTCATCAACTATTACGAATTTTGTTTCTTTGTTTTTGCTTTCCTAAAAAGATTTGTACTATATTTGTCATGATCCAATCCTAAAGCTTGGAATACCAAGGCCATAATAGACGGTCAGACCAAAATTTTAAACATTATATCGTTATTTTCATCATGTAATCTTTCAATTCGAAAAGAGCTAACTAAACCACAACTTTTATTTATGAACAATTCATATAGTACACTACTTCTTTTCCTCTATATCTATAGAATACACATTTTCAACAAACAAACACATGACTTTAATATAATACCTCATTTCTGGTTATCTTTCTACTGCACATTAATTCTCTTCTTTTATCTATTTAGGCTAAAGGCAATTTTCTTGAAGATGGTTATCAACTCAAGAATGAGTTAAACAACTCAGTGACTAATTATATTTCTAAATCATAATAATTAAAAATTTACATACCAATATGCATGACAAACTTTGTAAGTAAATGAATAGAACTATTTTTCATAAACATTAAAAAAATGCTTTCGTAGCACTGGTAGAATAAGGAACTATTACCTTTTTCTATCATTTTCATATCATATGATATCTTATTTTATAATACTCATCACATAAGCCACCGTTTAAATGTATATTATTAAAACCCCATCTCAATCTTTTTGGAATCTAATCCTCGGCATTTCCGTTTACGTGCACTCGATAATACATAAACACTCGATAATACATTGTAACCCAATCAATACCGTAAGGAGGGAAACTCTATCATTCAACATGTATGTGTATTCACTCCTATATAATGTATTCAGTTACATTTCTCTCATCTTGTATTTATTTTAAGTAGTATCTCTTGCTTATCACATCATATCTTATTATTTAGTATTTAATTTGGCGATTTCATAAACTAGGAAAGAAAAATCACTTTGGACATTTGCAATATCAGTTTGGTATTGATCAAAACATTCTTTAATGCGAATAAGAAAACGTAAAATCAAAGTATTTGATTTAGAGGAAGCAAAAATAATTACTATAAAATAAATTATAATTTCCATATCCTTTCAGAAGCTTCCTCATTACTTGAATTTTGTTTCTTTTAAAGAGATACTATACCAGCAATATTGTATAAATGTTTTTTAATGCACCTCCAAGCTTTCTTTTTCATCATGCCCTTTTTATTGCTAAATTATGTTTTATTTTTATTTTTAAATATTTAAATTCTATTTTAGTCGCGTAAATCATAGTTAATTATGTAAGTTTATATTCTATTATTAAAATTGATTCCTTTACTCATTGAATTATACTTTAAATTCAAAAAATTTAGTAGAATATTTCCTGTAAGTTTTCAACTTTAGTTCATGCTTTAATTATTCCACCTTTTTTATTTTATATATATATTATATAATTTCTTAAGTTTTTGTCAATCATAAAATATGAATTAACTTTATGTTTTTAAATGATTTCCATCATATAATTATAGCAAATTTGAACTAAAATTCTCAATTTTTTTTTTATTTATCAATAAATCTCTCTTAAATTTTGAAAAATTGGAACCATAATTTCTCAAAATTTTTTTCTTAAAGTTTCATATATAAAATTTTCTCCTCCTCTTTTCCTTCCTCTAGGAATGGTAGAAGACCATACAAATAAGCTGAAATCCTAAAATTGAATTTAGGAAGCATATAGTGAGAAAAAAAAAACTTACCTTTGTTTGGGGATGGAAAGGAATAAAAATCTTAGCTTTTGGTCAACTTAGTGCATCTTCAAAGCTTCATAAATTGGTCGGGCTCGGCGCACTCTCGAATGCATATCTAGTGTGTTTGTCCCACTCACGACCCACGTATGGCTCACGTGTTTGGCTTCTCCCACTTCTGCTTAGCTTCGCTGTATCTCGCTATCTCCTTCTCTCATTCTCTCACTCTCTATTGTTCTCTATTTTGCACCTGCTCTATGGCTTTCTTGCTCTCTTTTATGGAAAGTAAGGTGATATGTCCTTGACTATTAATGTGCCTGTTTGGGTATATGTTGTATAATAAATTATATTTATAATTTTATTTATCTAACAACAATCTTATTTTTTAAATAATTTTTATTTAATCATATTAGTTTACTAAACATTATTTCCATTTTATTTAGTTCATTTTAAATTTAGGGCATTACAATATTTACTAGGATTTCCTGCTAACCCATGCCTTCTGAACTTTTACCATTGTTTGAGGTATTCTACACATACCTGGAATCACACTCTCTTGGGACTTCCTTATCTTGCTATCGAATTCAGTGATTTTGGCTACCTTATGATCGTATTATTCTCTGTTGCTTTTTTATGATGTTTCCTAAAATGTTTGCTGGATTGGTTGTGTGTTAATGCTCTACACCATTGCCTTAAAGTTTTCCTAAGGAAACTTGTTTTCTAGCTGTTCTCGTATATTGCTCTATTCCGAAATTGGCAATATTATGGCTCTATAAGTCTTTTTGCTTGGAAACTGAATTTGAAAATTGCAACAATTGGCTGGATGTGGGAGGATTTTGAGATATTTGTTATTTTGAATTTTTGACCCGTGAGGCATATAAAAATAAATGAACATTGAGTATTGCATAAGAATTTCAGTTTGCTTCAATTCTTATGTGCGTTGGTTATTTGAGCACTTCTTCTGTGTTAATGACTATTTTCGGGAGCAAGTCATATTTTACTAGTGTGAGGTTTGGTTCTTTCTTTAGGTAGTTTCTATTTTTGTTCTTATTTTAGTTTTTTTAGCTGCTAATTTTTGTGTATATTATTGAAATTTTGTCAAGTGTGATATGTACCATAATTTTTTAGTAGTGCGAACTTAGTTGTTAGTGCAATTTTATGTTCGTTCACTATTTTTCTTGTGGATTTTAAGTTTTGGGTATTATTTAATTATCATTTAAAATAAAATAAATGTTTTTGTTATTTTATATTACTAGTGATTGATTTTTGCTAAGGTGCTAGTCCCTTGATGATTGTGGGTTCTCATTTTGCATCTTTTTTTAGTTTGCATTTGTGATCCTAGAACCTTATCTATTATACATCAGTTTTTTTCAGAACTACGTTGCACTCTAAAGCAGTACATAATATTTTGGTCAATTGAAAAAGTTTATAATGTAATTTAAAAAAATTAAGTATGATTTTAGATGGAAATAACATAGCTATTTGGAGGATCAAATAAAGTCTGGAAAAATAGTTACCTGATGATATTCCAATAGAGATGTGAAAACTCTTAGGAAATGAAGGAATTTATTGGCTTACAAAAATTTTCAATATTATTTTGAAGACTAAAAAGATGCCAGATGAGTGGAGTGTTGATTCTTATTTTTAAGAATAAAGGTGATGCACAAGAGTATGTAAATTATAGAGGAATTAAGTTAATGTGTTTTACATTATAACTATTGGAGAGAGTGATTGTGATGTGAAACGTGTAGGAGTTACTTGAGAAATTATAATAATCAATTGAACAAAACGTGCCAATATAGAATTATTGCTTGCAATAAAGATAGATTTCAAAATTCAAAATTTTAAACTTGCTTAGGCAGAGAAGTGCTATTGAGATTAGCCAAACAACTTAATCAAAAATCCAAAATAATAGTAAATGTTACATGCTCATAACAAAACCCAACAATTAACAACGTGAGGTTCACCTTGAGTACCTTCTCACTCAATCACTCTTAGGCTTTAGCGGAGAAAGTGAACCATACGAAGAAGGATATTACCACTAGGAAGACGGCGCCGAGGACCTTCGTTGACGGAGCGGTAGCCGACGGTGGAGGAAGTGGTGGATGTCTGTGCGATTATCCAACGACCTGGTGGAAGGTGCTCTTCAATTGACAATGTTAGTTGGTATATGATGCGGTCGATGTATCCTTCAATAGTTTCGTCGTTGCCAAAGAAGATGTCAAAGAACGGGGAACCAAGGATATTTGTCCTTCCTTGCTTGTTGAATAAAAATATGTGGTCGGTCTCAGGATCGGCCATGCACCAATGATGAGATTGGGAGAGGAAGTCGTCTTCTTCTCTTGGCGTCAAATATCATGAACAAACTAGGGTTTCCCAAGAGAGGGGATGCAAGAGAAAGGGGGCGGCCAAGGTGGGGAGAAGGGGAGGGGCGGTTTGGGTGGGGGCTTGGAATAGGTTAGAAGAGGGGAGAGGGAAATTTATCAAAAATCTGAAATTAATTTCAGATTTTTTTTTTTAAAGTGGATTTGGTGGGATTTAATTTGAATTTTGAATTCAAGTTAAAGTGGGATTGGGAGTTTTAATGGGAATTAATGGGGAAGCATTAATTGAGATTTTGAATTGGATTGGAGAGAGAAAGCATGGGTAAAGGGGGGCCGGCCATGTGGAGAGCAAAGGAGGGAAAATATTTTAAGCAAGAGGACAAAACCTTAAATCCGAAATTAAATTCAGATTTATGTATTAATGAGGAAGGGATGAATTTGAATTTCAAATTCAAACAAGGCTTGAATCTTAAATGGACATTAAATGGGGGAAACCCATGTATGGCCGACGGCTTGCATAGGGGAGGAGGGAGGGGAGAGAAATTAATGCCACTTAATGCCTTAAACCCATTTAAGCAATGGAATAAGAAATCCAATTTAATTAAAAAATTAAATTAGATTTGAATCGAAAAAACTTTCCTAATTTGGCGTGGATAATTTAGGAAAGTATTTTAAATTCAAATTTGAATTTCAAATTGAATGATGGCTTTCCAACATCATGTAAGCCAAATTAGGTAGGTCTTAATGGTGATTAAGCTAACATTAATTGGTGGAAAGAAAGAGGGCCGCGGGGGCGGGCGGTGGGAGGAAAGATGGAGGAGGCGGGTGGTGGGGTTATCGGTTTGAAGGAGGGGAGATGGATGCCGACGGTATGCGGAAGAATGGAGTGGGGTGTAAGGGAGAAGAAGAAGACAACGAACCGCGAACCAAGGAATCCACCACGGTTGACGGGTATTACGTTCACCCACCTAGGGTCTCTTCTCTCATGAACTCACTTAGAGATCAAGTAAGAAAACTATTTCATTTCAATATTCATCATCCCCTTACAATAGATGGGGCCTCAATATATAGGCCTGAAATAAAATAAAGAAAAGACACAAATGCCCCTTGGGCTACAACTCCCATAGAATCAAATAAAAGGGTACAAACGGAACTAGCAAACAAACATAAAATATAAATGTATCAAAAATAGAGGTGCTGAATCATAGCCGTTGATCTACGATTTCATCGCCGGTACACGTGTTTGAATCTCTGAACGATGTCCTCATCATATTGAGCATAGGTTATGACGTGATACTAATGTTTCTTAGAATCGATTTGGATTCATGCCGGGTAGATCTACTATGGAAGCTGTACATTTATTGAGAGGTTTGATGGAGAAGTATAGAGAGTTCAAAGAGGATCTTCGTATAATATTTATAGATTTATAGAAAGCATATGATAAAGTTCCAAGAGAAGTGTTCAGGAGTTCTAGAAAAGAAATGAGTTAATAATGCTTATATTCAAGTCATTAAAGATATGTATGCAGGAGCAATTACTTGTGTTCAAATACAAGGTGGTTTGGCCAAGAATTTTCCTATTTCAGTTGGATTACATTAATGATTAGCTTTAAGTCCATATCTTTTTGCTTTAATTATGGATGTTCTTGCTAGACATTTATAAGAGGATGCTACATGGTGTTTGCTTTTTGCTGATGATATTCTTCTTGTTGATAAGACTAGAGAGGGAGTTGAAGGAAACTTGAAGTATGGAGGTCAATCTTAGAGTCTAAATATTTTCGTTTGAGTAGATCTAAAACTGAATACATGTAGTTTAATTTTAGTAGTAATAGATCTAGTGGGGATATTATGACTTTGGGCGATCAAGTTATTAATAAGAGTACATATTTTATATATCTTGGGTCAAAGTGATGGTGAAATAGATGGGGATATTATTAGTACAATTCAAGTTGGGTGATTGAAGTGGAGGAATGCATCGGGCTTATTGTGTGGTAGAAAAGTACCCCTCAAACTTAAGAGAAAATTCGAGAAGATGGTGTGAGACCTACAATGATTTATGGCACATAATGTTGGCCATTAAAAGAGAAGTATGCTGTAGAGATGAGGATGCTCAGGTGGATGAGTTTCTTCACTCTTAGAGACATAATGCGAAACAAGCATGTGCGTGAAAAGGTTTGAGTATGTCCAGTGGCAGATAAGATCAGATAGAGTCTCCTTAAATGATTTGGACAGATAAAATGTCAGCCTTTTGATGACCCTGTTGGGAGATTAGATGTATTGGATTTTGCCCCATCTTAAGAAAGATAGAGGTAGAACTAAAAAGGCGTGACTAGAAAATATTAAAAATGATATTTTTTTATTAAATTTAAATGAGAATTTGGCTCTTAGCATGACACAATGGAGAAAAAAGATTCATGAAGCAGATCCCTCATAGTGTATAAAGGCTTGATGTTGTTGTTGTAGTAGTGGTGATTGATTTTTGTTAAAGTGAAGGGTTGTAATACGCGGATTGTATTTTTTGCGTGTTTTCATTTTTATCTCATTTTAAGTTGCATTGATAACTTTAAATTCGTAACTATCCAACATCAAATATTCTAGGGAGTACTAAAATATTCTTGTTTCCCTTTGCGAATTGCTATTAAATTTTAACTCATATTTTTTGTCATTTTGGTCCAAAGTTATATATGGAAATAAGTGATGTCTAGCCCTAGGCGAATGATGTTGTAAATGATAAAATGTTTTTTTTTGTTTATTGCATTATAAATTGCAATAAAATATTAGGAATGACCAAAAAAGAATTGGTTAGAAAATATTAGGAATGACCTTTCTTTATTAGATTTAAACGAGAATTTGACCTTTAATAGGACACAGTGGAGAAAAAGGATTCATGTAGCCGACCCCACGTAGTGGGATAAAGGCTTGATGTTGTTGTTGTTGCATTATAAATTGCACGTCAAGTAAATAGGCATGTGATGTTTTATCATATTACCTGATTACCGTACTCTTTTACTGTCTCCTATTTTATATGACTGAAAAGTTCCTTAAATAAGTTTTGTTTTGTTCATATGTTTTGTCTAGCTTGAAAATACAGTGCGGTTATTGATAGAGTTAGAACCTGATTCAGATCCGGTGTGGCATTATCTCAACATTCAGGCATGTTCCCTGAACTTATTCAACAAGCTGTCTTGTGAATGAACAAATTGGTTTATTTTGCATTTCAAGTTTGCAAATTTTTTGTAATGCTCATAATTTCATAAATTTTTCATAATGTTTTTTCCAGAATCATAGGGTGCGCGGATTATTTGAAAAATGCACCATTGATTATGAAGCTCAGATGGAACTCTTGCATAATGAGATTCAAGAGAGAGCACAATCTGATGCAAGATGGAGGCAGATTCAACAGGAATCAAACAAGTGTGTAAGTTTTATAGCGCAATACATTTAGGTTTACTGATAAGTACAAAATGAGTAAAGTTCATCACTTGTAATTACATGTAGAGCCATATTATTAAGATCGGTTAAAAACTGTCAATTTTTGATATAAATGATTCTGTATCTAATTTTTTGGTGACTGTAGGATGAATTACTTCATACATGTGAACTCACTTAGGGATGTTATACATTCTGAGGGTTTTTAAAGTAAAATGATATTGTTCTCATTCACATTATGTGCTTTCTTTTATAAATAACCCCCAAGAAATTGATCTCGTTGTTTTATTTTTAATGCCAGTTAGGTGTTGATTCCTCTGAATGGGACTCTTTAGCAGTAGACTCGCAACAGCTGTATATGACAGGCGAAGAAGTTGATGCTTTAAGAGGAAGGTATATTAGTAGGTTAACTGCTGTACTCATCCATCATATTCCAGCATTCTGGAGGCTAGCTTTGTCTGTGTTCAGTGGAAAATTTGCAAAGGTACCTCCATGAAAGTTTAATGTTTTTTTTATTGAAAGACCATCTTAGATTTGTTTCCGCCATCGTAGCTTAATAAATCATGGAAAAGAATTACGAGTTTGTCCGTTGGTAGTATGGACTATAAATGAAGAGAAATCTTGACAAAATGTATCCTTTTATTTGAAAATTTTATTTTCTTGATTGTAGGAAGAACACAATACAAGTTAGCTAGTTTAGCCTGGAAAATATTAGATTTTTATAAACTAATCAAAAGAAGTCGAATTGAGCTATCTAGAAAGTTAACTAGGCCTTTTTTCAGGTCTTTTTAAAATAATCTTTATTTTTGGGCAACTTTTTCTTATTTTTATTAAGTTTAATAATCCACTTTGACAATAATAGGTTTGAATTTAAATATTTTTATTGGATTATATTTGATATTTAGAGAGGATTGGATTTGAATTTTTATCAATTTGTTAGTTTTGTTATTAGAACTCAATTTTTATATATTGTGATAGATGGCTTCAAATTGAATAGGCTATTTTGATGAGTGGAATGTATGATGTGAGGCCAATTTAGTGTTCTTCCTTTTATCTTAGTTGTATATGGAGTTCATTCTTCACCCCCCTTCAATCACTTTCTATTATTAACTTGTACTTCTGAAGTGCAAAAGCTTTCTCTTCTATGGAAGAATGAAATCCTTAGTTTATTTGGAAATGAGTGATTGTGGGGGCTAGACCCATTTTATCTTTACTGTAATGGCTATAAGTCAGCTGTACTCAGTTATTACGATTATTTGCACAGACCTTGTTCAAGGGTGTTCTGCTGAAGCCTTAGCAAAGGTTAACGTAGTTTAGCGTTATGATTGGAGTTTGTTATTAAAAAATCAGCAACTAAATCATGCTGCTTTTATAAAAAACTATGCAAACTTAAGTTCAACGCTTTACAATTACCATGTAATTTAAAAGCTTAAGCATTCAAATAACCCATGTTATAATAATGCCTCGAGTGTATCAATATCTTAGCACAACCTGAATTATGCAATGAAAGCACTATTTATAACTATAATTTGTTTACATTATGTCCTAAAATATTGACTTGTTGGGAGAAAAAAATGGCTATGTCCAATGGCTTACGTTTTGTTTGAAAATTTTGACTTTTTGGGAGAAAAATGGCTATGAACCACTATAATTTATTGAACTTATAGGATGTCTAAATCGAACTGAAATTTGAATGGTTATCGAACATATCAGACTTAAATTATATGCACACACTCTTGATCCACAACCAAACTCACATACTTGTATAGAATCATCCCTAATAAAATTGACGTCCTTTAAAAATGTGTCTACACACGCACACAACAAAAAAATTTTGTAAATACAAATGGAAAGATAGGTTGTCGTAAGTAAAACTTAGAGATCAGAAGTTTTTAGCTTTTATATTTTTGGTTTGCTCATGAAGAATCTGAAAAACTTGACCAACTATGAATTTGCGCTTTGGACCCCACTTTTGAAAGGCATATCTAAAATCGGAGTTATTGATTCTTTTTGGAGTATCCTTAGAATTTAGATATTTAATTTCACAGCAATTTAAAAATATCACATTTTCTAAACCCTTCATTTTTGAAGTGTTTCATTTGGTATGTATGAGCTTACTATTACATAATAGAGACTTGATATGCTAGAGTTATAATATAAAAAAAATCTTATGTCACCAAAATTTTAGTTTAATGCTCGAAATTTGAAAGGATACTCTTGGATTAGATTCTCGAACATTGATTGAATTCTTGCCTGGCTCAAGTTTTTTTGTTTTTTTGCAACTTAAAAAAGTTGTAGTAGTTCTTGATATTATTTAAAAAAAGTATTTCTATTTAGGTGTGCTCGATGGGCATTAGAAACCTAGAATGTCTTGGGTTATTACATATGAGTTCCAGCCAACGACATTGCACCATCTTTCAGAGCTACTTGCCCATGATGTTTTCATTAATTATTGCTGCATGTTATTTTTGGCTTTGAACAGATTTGATATAGTGAACATTCTAATCTTAGCTTATGCTTTGGACTTAAATTCCTGGAATGCTTTTGGTAAAACACAAATGGCCATTTTACATTCCTTTTCCTATACTTCGTTAGAGCAATTGACGTAAAAACTTGAAAATATCTTTCAGAGATTTATAGCTTTTGGCTTGGTCTTTTCTATGAATTTCTGAAGTTTTGATGGCGCAGGGCACTGCAAGCAGTGTTCATGTTGATTCTGACCTAAATGCCAAACACACGCAAAGGAGTGAAGATAAAGCCACTGATGTGAAATTTTCAAGTCATTCTCTTGAGGAAGTTACTACTATGGTTCATGGTACCATAAATGCTTATGAAGTCAAGGTAAGTGTGTCAAAATAGTCTTTGGCTTATTTGAATGGGGTCATTTACTCTCAAACTACAAATTAACTCTATTTAGTCCATCCTCAAATATGATCCAAAATAGTCCCTTTACTGGATTATTTTGGATGAAATTTGAAGAGTCAAGGTACTATTTTAGATCATATTTGAAGATTTAAGGGATTAAATTGAAAATATTATATAGCTTGGAACTAAAATGTCTCCACATAAATAGTCTAGGGACCATTTTGACCTCTCTCTCTCTCTTTAAATATATATTATTTCATTTTGTCTTTTTATGTTGATTATGAAGTTTTGTGTGCTTCATGTGTTCTTCAATATTGGTTGAAAGAACTCTTCTTTTCTAATTAAATATTCAACTATGCTAGAAATGTTTGTCATGCTAATATTGAGTGTTTGCAAGAGATAAATGCTTGAGAGGTGACATTTGAGGCCATTACTATGATGTCTTGTTCATATGTTATGCGTTTGTGATGCTTTTTATCTCATCAGTGAGGGGAAGAAATGTAAATTTATATGACTAAAAGTAAAATATATAAAATATTCTTCTCTTCATCTAGAGTTTTCATGGTTAAGAGTGCGGCCTTGGAGCAATGATATTTGCCTCCATGAGAATGTGGAGATTACATTTTCAAATCACCTGACAATTATGGCGGGCCATCTGTGGACTTCAAGATCCTAGTTTTGTTAAGTCTGTCATTTGCTTTATTTATGCCATTTTGTCTTCATTTTAATTCGATATTATCTTAACTATTCTAGCTTATATTGTATGACGAGTTTATTTGCTCTCATGGTTGGCTGAAACTCCCTTCCCTCTTCTCCTCCGATTTCTCATTCTTTGGATTCATTACCCCTTCCCACTTAGCTGATCTTCTCATTCATTCGTTAGCTTACATTCTCAGGAGTGTTGCTTGCTTTTTCTCTGTCTGCTTGAATATCTCCTCTTATTCAGTGCTTTTTCAAAAATTTTGCTTCTCATGGAGTTCACCTGCTTCAGCTACTGTGTGATTAAAAAACCTTTATGCATTATGTATAGAGGGATAAGGCTTCATTCTTCAGTTAGAATCTACACCCTGCATTTGCCAGAGCCTCATATGTTGGGTATACTCTTTTAGGCCAGTTATTGAAGATTACTTGATCTTTACATCACTAAGATGTAGTTTTGAGTAAATGTTTTAAGAGAAAGCCATAACGGTTGTGTGGAATGGTGGATTTTGTTTTAATGGTCTAGTTAACATTATAGCTATCATCTGATTTCATAAATTTTATTTATAATTTTATATCCTAATGTAAGTGGCCTTATGGTTTTATGCACTTTTGGTGGCTTAAACAAATGTGTATTTTTTCATGGCAGATTATGCGGATCAAACATTTCTCTTTGCCAAGTCATTTCACACTTGTTTAATATTTGAGTAAAAGGTCAAAATTGTCCCTGGACAATTTATATGGGGCTGTTTTAGTTCTAGACTATCTAATGTGTGTAATTTAGTCTCTTGTCAAAAATATGATCCAAAATAGTTCATTGACTGTTCAAATCTGATTCGAAATAGTTCAATATAGGAACTATTTTGGACATTTTGAGGTCAGAGACTAAAATAGCCCCATAAAAATTGTCCAGGGACCATTTTGACATTTTTTTCTTTTATATTCTTATTATCTTCATAGGTTGATTACCTATCTTATTTTTCAATATGCTTCTGGTTTTGTTTTGTTTTATTGTGTTCTATTTATGCACTGATGCTGTAAAAACATTTGTTTATTGAATTTTTTTTGATAGACGCATTAATAAGGCTTTTCTTTCTATTAACGGTTGCTCTATGATCATCTTGTTTAATGTGCAATCTGTTTATTCTTGAAATTGTGCTTACCATAGATTCCATTTCTTTCTTCCTTGTGACTAGACAAAATAAGCTTGCCAAAATGTTTTTGTAAGGCAGGTCCACAATACGTTTCGTGAATTCGAAGAATCAAATATTCTTAGACCATACATGAGTGATGCTATCAAAGAAATTGCCAAAGCATGTCAGGCTCTTGAAGGAAAAGAGTTTTCCCCTTCAATTGCAAGTATGTACCATTTTTTTTGTTATTTGCAAATTATTTTCAGTTTTATATTCCTAAATATAATTTGGTTATTATGTACTTTCCAGTTAAGACTTTGCGAGCCCTTCATTTCGAAATTACAAAGGTTCATGTTTTTAGACTTTGCTCATGGATGCGAGTGGCAAGCGAGGAGATAGCCAAAGAAGAAATGTGGATTCCATTATCCACTCTGGAGAGGAACAAATCTCCATATGCCATTTCATACCTGCCTATAGCATTTCGAGAAATGATAAGTTCAGCGATGGATCGAATACAAGCGTAAGTTCTTTATTTAATTTCACATTATTGTTTCAAATTTTTTGTTTTGTAAAAGGAATGGATCTACATACTTATAGGACTTGAGGATCAAAACAACACACAACAATACAAAAAACAACAATTTACTCCAAATAGATCCAAAAATAACACAAAGAGAGCTGTTTTTACTAATTTCCAAACAAAGCAAGACAAGATACAAGTTGATTCATTGTTCAAGAGGTGAATCGTCTCTCCCACAATTCCTAGCAGCTACTAGGAACCCAAAACCTCACAAAAACTGCTGCATAAATTCCAAACATAACATAAAAAACCCCAAGCCACTATAATCTTTCCCCTTAAACAGCTCAAAATCCCCCTAATAAATGCCCCTTACATCTTTCCCAAAGAGTCCCCTCTTTCCCAAAGAGTTTCCTCCCAAAGCCTCTTCTCCTATAGGTGATAAAAGAGGTCCAGGGCCCCACCTGGGCAGCGGGACTGCTGCTTCTACCTGTATGACCTACATATTTCATACCTGCCAATTTGAGTCTGGAGCAGCAGCAAAAAACAACGCAGGCACATGCTAGAACCGTGAATGCATGTAAAACATGCACGTGGCGAGCGAGAAATTTTTGTGTCCGGACACCGAACGCGTCTAGAGAACAATAACAACGGGTCACGTCACCTGGAGCTCAGTACCGAGCACTTAGTATTGCTCGGTATACGTCCGGATTTCTGATTTTTTGTCCGAACGTAATAACTTTTCTGGGCACCTTGTAGAGATAGTAGATGGAGGAAAGGCATGCAGAGAATTGTGTGGTATTACTGTTAGGAGTCGTGATGATACATGCACTTAGCTTGGGTACCGCAACTGGAGATGGATAGAGCGCTCTATCTCCATTCGATCATTTTTGTAATCTTCTGTTAGCTTAAGGTGTCGGATCATTATTCTCGACCGAGTTATATTGATGAATGCTTTTTTGATATTCATTTAGACTGTTAATATTACTTTATGGTAAATATGGTGATTGCAAGTTTTGATTAGATAGTAAATGTATGCTTTTAGTTCAATATTTATTTTTGAACTCTTAAAATTAGTTCATAAATTACTATGGTTTCTATTTATTGTTGTGTTGAAGGTATTGTGAATTTCAAATGGCATTAGCATATCTATGCTTTTTTTTTTTTTAAATCAATATTTTTTTTGGGTGCTTCTAGCATGATTCATAATCTAACAACAGAGGTGAACAAGTCGGATGACATGTTAGACCATGTTCAAGAAATTCAAGATTCTGTTAGAATTGGGTTCTTGAACTGCTTCCTGGACTTTGCTGGTATGACGATATAACGAGTTTGACTAACTTTGACTTCATTTGTTTAATTAGCTTTCATTTTAAATATTATCTGGTTGTGCAAGTCATCAGGTTATCTTGAACGAATTGGAACTGAAGTATGTCAAGCAAGTTCAAATAAAGAAGATGGTCATTTACAGAATGGTTTTTTGTATGGATATGAAGGAGAATTACATGGGCTTCATTCGGGTGTTGCTATTGCTGATCCCCACAGAAGGTTGTTAGTAGTTTTAAGTAACATCGGGTATTGCAAAGATGAACTTGCTCGTGGGTTGTATACAAAATACATGCACATATGGATGACATACAGGTATCTTTTTTTTTTTCTATATTTAATCAAATAGGCTATAGAGTAATCAGAATGAAATGCACGGCTTGTTCCTCGATGTAAACATTCCCTGCAAAGTTTGACAGGCACTATATCTGCTAAATGACAAAAAATGCTTGAGTTCACACAAATGCCAATAGGACCTTTTACATGATGTGAAATTTTCTTTTTGAAGCACATAACCCATTGGATGTGCAGTGTAAATTCAAAAGCGTGGACCCACTCACAAGATCTATAGGGATGATTTTATTTTTTTCCTTTCCAAGCATCTAACCCCATTGAAGTGCAAAACACATTCAAACAAATTCAATGATGATGCATCTCTCCTTTTGCTTTGTGCAACTTTTATGATTGTTAACAAATTTCTGTTGTTTTTATTTGTAACCCACATGCTAGGCATCCATCATCATCACCCTTATCATCATCATTATTTGCCTTTTTCCCAACTATGTGGGTTGCTAGTATCCTTGACATCTAAATTCAAGAAACGATCATATAAAGGGAGTACCTTGTGCTTGCTCCTACCATTATGGTGTCTTGGAAGGGGGTTAATGCATGGAGCCTTACGCCTGCATTCGTAGATAGATTGATTTTGTGGCTCAAACCTAGGGCCACCAGATTACACTAGAGGCAATGTAATTACTGGTCCAGTTCCACCCTCTAAGTACAATCATTATTTATTATTTATCTATAGTACTGATATTATTATTTGCATCCATTATATCCATGCATGTATGCAAACTTATTGATGTAGGCAGCCTATCCAAACTTAAAAGTTTAGTGTTCTATTGAAATATCCACCTTTGAACCTGTATGTGCTTTGCACTCAATTGATTGTGGAGTTTACAAACCCACCTTAACATTCAACCATTACTATTATTTATGATTGTAGCCTAGTTATTATCAATTTTTTTACTTCTATTGTTGTTATGGTATACCTTCTATTCTCTTCAATAACCTCTATCTGAATTTAGCATTCTAAATATCTAGTGTGCCCGCTTATTTTATCCTATGTAGGGAAAGGAATGAACAAAATACTGATGTTCGTGATCTAGTTTCGTCATTTTCTGCACTTGAGGAGAAAGTTCTTGAGAATTACACATATGCAAAGGTATGATGCAGCATTTTATTTTAACGGTTTCTTGGAAGTTTTAACTGTTGATGCATCTTATAATATTTGTTGCATTGAAGGTGTATTAAATCATTACGTTGAAGGTTCTTCTTTCTTTCCTTTTCTTCTTTTCCTTTTCTTCTTCGACTTCAGAGGTCGATTACGAGATGGATGAATAGGGATATATATATATATATATATATATATATATATTGAAATGATCAAAATGTTATATAGAATTTAATAAAAATGGTTATGATAAAATTTAAGATATGTGATGGGTTATTTATTCTTCGGTGAAAAAATTTATTGTACCTTAAAAATTTGGTGTTACATAGGGACCCTCTTATAGTGATGTCAATACTCTTGTTAATCTGTATATATTATGGATTGTTAGTTCCTAGGAATTTGTTTTTTTTAGAACATTTAGTCTACTGCTGTTTCTATCTTTTGTTATGCATGCATATGCATATATATAATTGTTTAATTTTTCAGTTCATGCAAAATATTAAATTGTTCTGATTCATTCTGCTCTTTTTGACCAGTCAAACTTGATAAGGACTGCTGCTTTGAACTATCTACTAGATTCTGGTATTCAATGGGGATCTGCACCTTCAGTTAAGGTATGAGATAATAATGCGCATGTTGATCTTCTTATCCTGTTTATTTGCTAAAATTTGTTCTGAATTGTTAATGAGGTCATGGGTGCTAAATGTTTCAGGGAATTCGGGATGCTACCATTGAATTAATACAGAGTTTAGTTGCTGTGCATGCAGAGGTACTCACTGATTCTGTCTGTTATTTTAAAAGAAATTTATATTTTTCACTATATTTTTGAGGTTCTTGTTTGTGTTATATGAATATTCTGTAGAACTTATTCTTTCAAAAAAGGTACTAAAATAATAAGCCAGAATAATTACGTTGCAACCTGCAATGCTTTTTGGTGCAAGCATAATATTAAGTTAAGTGTTGCAGAGATGTGAATACTCTGGTGGATGAGGAGAAATTATTGTGTACGTAATCCGAACGCGTTCGGATGCTGAGTATTTACTGCTTATTTGTTGCGTATTTTTTTATACAAAATTTTTTTGTGCCAAAAAATAACAAATAAATAATACTCACTAAATACTCACTAAATACACAGTAAATACGCAAAAAATATGTAGAAAAAATTAAATACACAAAAAATACGCAACAAATAAGCAGTAAATACGCAGCATCCGAACCTATCCCTGCGTTCGGACTGCGTACACAATAATTTCTCGTGGATGAGTGGCTTTACTCTTAGAGATAGGATAGGAAATGAGTATATACGTGAAAATGTTGGAATAGCACTAGTGGAAGATAAGATTAGAGAGAGTCGCCTTATATGGTCTGATCACTGTTAGGAAATTAGATGTATTAGATTTGACTTATGTTAAGAAAAGTTGATGTAGAGCTAAAAAGATTTGATTAACCTCACACACTTTAGATGAACCTTAATTGTTGCGATTTGCAAATAGGGGTATGGAGAGGTGCATATAAGAAAATTTCATGCTAAATTTCATCCTAATTTCTGCTTCAGCTAAGGCTTTGATGAACTTATTCTTGATACAGGTCTTTTCCGGTGCCAAACCATTGCTTGAAAAAACGATGGGTATTTTGGTGGAAGGCTTGATTGACACATTTCTTAGCCTTTTCCATGAAAACAAGGCCAAGCACAAGGCCAAGCACCTGAAGTCTTTTGACATGAATGGTTTCTGCCAACTCATGCTTGAGGTTAATGCATTCTATCTTTAATCGTTTTTCCATTTGAAGTTTTAGCACTACCATTTTATGCAAATTTTTGTTGTTCAGGTCCGAGATTATTCCTGACTGGATCGAATACTAAGGAGTTCTCTGATGATTTTCTAATCATATTTCTCTCTGTTTTTCAGCTCGAGTATATTGAAACTGTTCTTCACTCGTATTTCTCCCCTGCGGCGCTCGAATCCTTAAAAGCTTTGCAAGGACTCTTATTGGAGAAAACCTGCGAGACGGCATCTGAATCTGTCGAAAATCCAGGCCATCACCGCCGTTCCACCAAAGGTAGTGAAGATGCAATTTCAGATGACAGGCAACAGGGGTCCAGTATTTCCCCTGATGATTTGATCGTAAGTTGATCTCCTCTTCATGAATTATGGATAAAACAATCTAGGAAATGCAAATATAATGTAGTTTTTACTCTTGCAGGCTTTGGCACAACAATATAGCACCGAATTGCTTGAAGGTGAACTGGAGAGGACCCGTCTCAACATATCATGCTTCATGGAGGCTTCCCTCCAACCAAATTCTGTTCCGGCAGCTCAAAAGCCTTCTTACTCTTCCTTTCAAAAGTCGGTTTCTTCCCCACATTACAGGCGACAACAGACTGTTAACTCTCCTAGTTTCTCCAGGCACAGACGAAGATAACCGAGAACAAGTAAGAAAAAAAATCAGCCGACCATTGTTATTTGCTACTAGCTATTTATTTGTTTTGTTTGCAATCCTGTATCTTTTGTGCAATATCTTTTTGATGTTTGTAAGTTGTAATATTTGGCATGACCAAGTATTATATTTTTTTGGATCTTAATAATGCGTTTAATTGATGCTCATAATGATTTTTAGTTTTTAATTGCTAAGGTCTTTGTCTTTCATCAATTTTATTTTGTCTTCTTCTTCTTATTTTTTTCGTTTTCCTTAAGTTCTAATAAATAAATATTTGTCATATTAGAAAAAAAAGTTTCAAATGCAAACAACAACCAGAATAGCTATTGTATCTAGTGAAGGAGCCAGAAATTTTATTCAATGGAGATCTAAATTAAAATAGTTTTGTTTGATGTCTCATCTGGAATGTTAGAATACTTTAAAATAATTTTCTGTGTCGTTTCATTACTGAAGTCAAGAGAAGCTGTAAGATCAAAATTAAGAATGCATATAACATGACCCTTAGAGCTTAAAAGATATAAATATCAGCCACATGCGGTCTCATTTGGGAGCGAGAGAGGAGCGAAATGGAAAACAAAAATCGTGCTCAAGGTCATGAGTCACGAGTCACGAGAGAGGAGTGATGGGGAAAACAAAACAAGCAGTTTGGGTCGAGGGAAAACAAGCCGTTTAGGGGTGGTCTCCATTTGTGCCTACGCACGTGGAAGAAAAAATCGTTTGAGGCTGCGAGTCACGAGAGAGGAACGAAGGGAAAATGATGCTAGGGGAAAATTGATTTTTTTTTTCGGTTAAACCAAACTCAATGTATGGAATGAAGTGGGTAGTTGCATTAAGTCTATTTCTAAACATTGGTTGAGCAAATTTATCAACTGGGAGAGTAATCTTCAAGGCGGGGCGAGCGGCTGTGAGAAGTTTGTATCAGGTTCCGATGAGTTAACATTTTTCTTTTGACACGATTGCTTTGTCCAATCATCTTGCCTCAGGCTGATTTCTAGGGCACACACTTGGATAAAGTAATAATAGTAATAAAATTAGAGAGCAAAATGGATAATAACATGAGAACAGCACATTGACCGCCGCATAAGTATATTAGTTTAAATATAAATAGGGTGAAGAGCATTTTAAGGGGTGTAAATGAGTATAGTCAAGTAGAGTAGTGGCCATATCAAGCTCAACTTGTCGGTCAGAAAGTCGGCTCTAACTCGGTTTCGCCCCATTATAAACAAGCTCGAGCCGGCTCACAAGCCTTGGCGGGATTTTTTTAAATATTATAAATTATTTTAAATATTTAAGTATTTAAAATTTTATTAAATATTTTAAACATTTATTATTAATTTTAAACATTAAATATTAATTTACTTTTTTTACATTATTAAATATTCTAAACATTTAATATTATTATTTTTTAAATATTTAAATTAATTAAATAAATAAATTTATTAAAAAATATTAATAATTTTTCGACTCGGCTGGCGAGCTGAGTCTCATCAAGCTTGAAATCAACTCATGAGCTTGATAAGCTCAACTCACTAGCCTATAAACGAGTTGAGTTTAAGCTGTCTTGCGAGTTGGCTCGGCTTACTTACACCCTTAGCTACAATAATAACAACATCAAACTTTTATACCATTATATGGGGCTAGCTTTATCAATCATTTTCCTCTATTGTGTCTGGTTAAGAGTTATATGCTCATTTAAATCTAAAAAAAGTCATTTCTAATATTTCTTAATCAATTTTTTTTTAGGTATATCACTATCTTTCTTAATATAGGTTAAAAATTTAATACATCTACTTTATAAATCGGGTAATCGGAAGGCTAATATTTTATGTAATCAAATCATCTAAGGCGACTCTCTCTAATGTTATTTATCACCAGAGCTACTCCAACTTTTTCACGTATATGCTCATTTCGCATGTTGTCTCTAAGAGCTAAGCCACTCATCCACCTGATGACCATTGATGGAATATGTAAAAAGCATTGGTATAGATCATCAACTTATGATACTAAGCAGGAGTTGCGTTCATATAATGATGCAGATATTGGGAAGTGATACATAAGCAAACAATGTTCATCCAAAATAAATAAAAAAAATCAACATTGAAAGACCAATTTTGCAACAAAAAGTTCAGCTCAACACAAAGGAAACATGTAATTTCAATTGACATGAAGAACTTGCTTTTACTCGGACGGGCTTCGCCCACCCACGCCCACTCATGAAGACTTTCGAGATGTCGTAACCACATATATTCACACACTTTTCATGCTTTTTGAATGCAGTCTGCCACGGATTGATGGCCTTGAGGCTTGTTGCTCTTTCCTCTTATTGCAAACTTTCAAGCCTCATATCAGAATTTATCGTAGTCACAGAGTGGTTAAGTGCTGCACACTACATAGTGAGGATTGCAATAATATAACATATACGATAATTAGAAATGTAAATCGATTTATCCCCCGATGTTGAGTATCCACTCTTACCCAACCACAAGGTCATGGGCGTACCCATACGCACCCATACCCATTGGGTTTGGGTATGGGTACCCAATGCAGGGCTCTGATAGGCACTAACTAAGGTAAATTAGGATTAATCTAATATAATGGCACTAAAGGTCCTATAAGGAAGGATACAACCTTGGGCCATGGTTGGCTGTTAAAATCTTCTGAACAGGAAGTCTTTGATCTCATGAATCAAATGTTGCCAAAATCATCTTGGGTCTATGGTTGGGTTGGCCGACCTGTGATCTGCCTAGGAAAAATGCTTCCGTGTCATTTCGGGTAAGTTAAGTGAAAAAGGAGATTATTTTATAAGAATATTTTCTAGGGTTATTAGAGATTTTTTTTTCTTTAGATCTTCGATCGATGTGGTTAATATACAACTCCAAAGCTTATGAAAATTTAAACATAAAAAGAATAAAAATGTAAAATCTAGAAAAAATAGCTTCAACCATTTTCCCCCATTTTCTAATTAAAAAAAATTCAAATATCACCTAATTGAATTCATTAATATATTAAATGATTTGAGAAAATTCTCAAACTCATTGGAAAGGTTAAGTAAGCCCTAAAAATGTCTCTCATCCAAATTTCAAGATTGGATAAGCCTTTGCATACATGATTTGATTTCATTAATCACAAATTTACTATTAAAAAATCATTGTAATTAATATTACATCCAAAAGATTTGGAGATGTTCTATATATATTTATGAATTTACTAGAATTTTTTGACTATATTCAAGTTGTCTAATAAATTAAAAATGGTAATGCTTATTATTTTAGATTTGTTAGAAAAACTAAATAAATCTAAATAATTTTGAAATTATTTGGAGATATTCTTTGACCCATGATATATAAGCATAATTTTTTTTTTCACGATTTAATTTGACTATTTACATGAAATTTCTATTTTTTATATAAAAAAAATACTATTTTTAAATTTATTATTTTCCCCTGGTGGGCCCATTGACATGGCATAGGTGTGTCTCACTATTATGGGACTAAACCGATTTATTGGGAATTTTAAGTAATTAAAATACACAATATTTTAATTATTTAATAATAGAAAATACCTTAGATGCCTTTAAAAATTAATTGGAGGATTTCTTAAACACATCATTAATTGCCATTAAGTACAATATCATAAATGAATTTCATACAATCTTATCATATGCAAACCAAATTAGGATTTGTTTTAACAAAAGAATCTAATTTTCCTTGGATTGTTGAAAAATAGACATGAATTTGAATCCTTAATGCATATGCGCTATTTTAGTTTAAACAATCATGGTAAGCATTACTTGATGCATTTTCCTACATGAGGTATTTTGCAATTTAATATTTAATCATATCGGTTATCTAAATAAATTCTATAGAATAATTATATGAAAAATATTAAATAATTGTCAAAATATTGCGCAAATTTTTGGACTATACTCATTTTGCTCATGCTATGGATTAGTATCGAGCAAAACATTTCCATCAAGCTTCAATTAACCGTTGCCATTTGCATGATAGGTACTCATTTAACTTTTTTAGTAATCAAAATATAATAATTAGCTTGAATCAAGCAATTGAGGGCTTATAACTTCATTTTTGCTCATATAAGTACATATGCTAATCTATCACATTAATATATTTTGGGAAGAATTTTTAGGTTTTTTTATATTTTTCAATAAATTATCTACCCTTAGATAGATAAATATTTACAGAAAGAAAATCATGATGATTCACTCTCAACAATACCATTGATATTTTGAAAACACTTTCAAATTAGTTAGATGCCATTTGAGAAACCAATATTTGACAAAGCTGGAATAGGAGTTCCCTACTTTCCAGAAATTACTCTCACTCTCTCTCTCTCTCTCTCTTCTCTCTCTCTTCTCCTAGGTTAATATAACCACATAATTATTAGGGTATAAAATATAGTTATAACTCCCAATCAGTAAAACAATATCATCATATTAATAACTAAAATATATATAGACGTGATATACTCAGATAGGTAAGGTTACCAAACCTAAGGGTAACTACATATAATATTCTGCTTAAAAAAATGCAAACACATTAATAGTAAAATTCTATGGAGTTTATAATTTTTTAAATTTTAAATTAGATTCTAAGGATTATAGTGCTTAATGAGTTCCTATATGATAGTTGTTATTTAAAAGTTAATACTCGGGATCCAAATATTTACTTGGAACTCTTATTTAGTAAGTTCTTTTTTTACGCTTCAAGTTGAGTGGGCTTTGTGAAGATTTATTGAGTTTAATAAAAGAGATCTTCATCCATATTAAGCAAAATTAGTCATTGCAATGAAGATTATGTTAAACTTTGTATGCATCCTTTTAAACGAGGGTTTTACTTCATATAGACAAAGTATAAAATCAAAACCTATTAAGAAATCAAAAATAGGTGGAGTCTAGCTTGCACGAATTTTGGCCACTTCAATGACATATCTTAATTCCTAAGCTACTAAGCTTGAAGGAAACATAGTATAACCCTTGCTGACTTTGGTTTTGTTCTCATTGCCATGTCTTAGCATATTACACTCTCAAAGAGTGACGCTAACTCTATACCATGTAGAATCTCTTATTCCACTCTTTGACTTGGTATAATATACTCTCTCAAGCAAAAACCTTCATCAGAACAGCCAGTGCATCACTTATCATTCCCTTATGCTCTACAAACGACAGATCAAGAGG